CTGGAAGTATCTTCCACGGGGACAGCCTCAGCAAAGGGGGAGAGGGAGGATGTTAACATTACTGAGCCCTTATTCTGAGCCCAGCACTGAGCTGAGGAGCTTGCATTTCAGAGGTGGAAAGAATAAATCGCTTTATCCACATAAGGAAGCCTGAAAGATGGTGCCTGACACAGAACTTGGCCCAGAACAAGCCCTCAATGTTTGTTGAGTTCCAGAAGCATCTGCAACCTATGTGACTACTGGTCCAGAAAGGCAGGAGTGTGGGGTGCTCTGTCCCCTAACGGGGTCTCTGTAGGCCAGGGGGGAACAGTCCAAGTACCTCCTAGCCTTGCCAAGTCATAGCTATTCAGTCAAGGTCTCCAAATGTCAAGCACAGAATCTTAGGCCTGGAAGAAGTCTGACAGACAACGAGGATCAACTTCCCCCACAATGAACCTGTACAGAACAAATGGCTTAGCGAAAGTCACGCTGCTCATTAGTGGGTTCCACATTTTCCTTCATTAAGGTCTTAAAATTTTTTTAAACATTCTAATGTATTGCCAACATTCAGAAGTAAAGACATTTCTCAAGAGGTGGGTATAACTCAGTGGTAGAGTGCATACTTAGCATACACGAGGTCCTGGGTCCAATCCCCAGTACCTCGACTAAAAAAAAATTAAATTTCTGTCTATCGACAAAAATGAATGTCGATGATTGGATAAAGAAGATGTGGTATATACAGTGGAATATCACTCAGCAATAAAAAATAATGAAATAATGCATTTGCAACAACATGGATGGACCTAGGGTTGATCATATTAAGTGAACTAAGTCAGAAAAAGACAAGTATCATGTTATATCACTTATATGTGTAATCTAAGAAGTACAAATTTACTTATAAGCCAAGAACAGATTCATGAACATAGAAAACAAACTATAGTTACCAAAGGGGAAAGGGCAGGGAAGAGATAAATTAGGAGTTTGGGATTAACAGATACACACTACTATATATAAAACAGATAGACAACAAGGACCTACTGTATAGCACGGGAACTATATTCATTTTCTTGCAATAACCTATAATGGAAAAGAATCCAAAAAGACAAAATATATGTGTATGTCTATGTATAACTAAAATGCTTTGCTGTACACCTGAAAGTAACACTGTAAATCAACTACACTTCAATAAAAAATTTAAAAATTAAAAAAAAGACATTTCTCATAAAAAGCCAGATATCTGCCTCTTAAAAAATCAGATGCTTTGGCAAAACCAGTCCTTCATTTCCATGTGGCAACAACTAGCAGGAATTGGGCCAAAGCTGTGACCTTCAGCTGCGCATCTGCTCTGTAGTTTCCTCCAGCCCCGCAGCCTGGCCTCAGTAGACAGTGGGCTTTGCAGCTCGATGGTTGAGAACCATCCGCGAGGCCCACCTGGATCCTCCCTGGGGCACAGAACACACACGGTGGGGCTCCTGCTGGGAACATCAGACTCGGCAGCAGTTCCCCTCCAGGGAGGGCGTCCCATTCCCCTCTGCACCCCTTTCACCCAGCACAATCCCTGAGACCTGAACTGAGCATGTCCAGTCTGCAGGGGCCCGGGGGCCGACAGGAGCTGTGGTTCTGTTGGACTCAACACACCACTGGGCAAGTATCCTCAAGAGACTTTGGAGTTCCGGTGTTATAGGAAGCCAGTGACTTCTGAGTAATATGTGAGTCTGAGGAAAATGAATAAGCACATTTTTTTAACAACTGTATAAATATAATACCCCAAAACACTGACAAGATTGAAAAAACGAGCCTCGTTTGACTCAGGTGGATAATGTCCTCTGCAGAAAGTAGGGAAAAGCGCTGACTTCACTCTCTCGTGAGTTATCTTTACCGCAGGACAGGGTAAGCTGGGAGATATAGGTTTTCTCCTGCTGTCCAAGGCTTATCATCTCTTTGCCTGTGCTCTGGGGCCATTCATTTCCTCCTGAACTTTTTAAACCATAAATCACTTGATTTCCTTGAATCCTTAATTGGTCTTTCACTGACCTTGGCTCTCCCCCTGCAACTCAGCATCTCCATAAAATTTTCCTTCCTCTAGTTTCAAACCATGCTCATTAAACTCAGCTATCATGGTATGTTCCATATTTACCAAAATGGTTCTGCAAAGAGCCTTAAATAAACCCAAGAATAAATAGTTCAACAGATGACGTTGTACCAAGTTTACAGATCACCTCTAACTGATCACAGCATCGCAGATGTTACCCTGTCAGAGCTGTCTAGCCTAAACATTTTAGCTAAGAAACAGTACCTCCAGGCCACCCCACTCATTCCTCTAGCCCCTGAATGTTTACTTCTCTTACTGGCTCATCTCTATATGAATTAATATGTGTCTCTATGACTTCATTGTTTACCTACCTCCTGGAGTGTAAGCTTCTCCAGGAAAAGAGGCTGCCTGTTGGTTGGTTACTATAGCATCTCTCATTTCTAGAACAGTGCCTGAGAGTCAGTAAATAACCTTTGAGTGATGTGGATAGACAACAATTACTTAAGTGGAAATTCTGATTAGAAGGATACATTCAGAGAATCAAGTTAAAAAAGTTGAAATTTTTCAATCCCACGGCTTTCAACAAATGATACCAGTTCATGTGATCAACATAGGCAGAAATACATATCGCTAGTGATATTAACTGAACATTTATGATCTATATCAGGCACTGTGATAAGCACTATACGTTCACCTTCCGACTAATTTTCCTAACACCATAAGGAGTCGCTGTGATTCATTCTGTAAGTGAATTGGGAAAGGTCTCTTACTACTGTGTTATTCTGCAGAGAATATGCAGACCACGAACCCCAGTAGGAGTTAACCAAATTAACCCTTAAAATTGCAATTTTTCTGCTGTTATGTAAATAGAGCCAGGTCTGGGTCAGGCAAGAAACAGAAATGAGGACACAGTCCTGGGAATATGTGTCTTATGAGTAATATGTGACTCACCAGAAGAGGAATAAGTGTATTTCTTTGGAACAATCCCATGAATATAAAACCGTAAAAGCATAATCAGGACTGAAAACATGAGCTTCACTTTCCTTGGATGAATAATGTTTCATGAAGGAAGTGCAGGCCGTGCTGAATGAAGGCACAGGCTGCACCTGAACAGGGCAGGGTCCACCTAGCCCAAGCTGACAGGTGAGTCTTCTGAAATTTCAAGAAAGGCTGCGAATTTGGATGTCTTTTAGTGCAACTCTCCCTTCTTTTTTGTTGGCAAATCATTTAAAAATTAGAAATACGCGATGAAGGACAGGTCAGAAAGGAAAACACTTCTGTTTCAGGTCTGCACACCATGTCAAAAAAACTACCTGAAATCTAAATTAAAGGTAAAGCTTTTCTGCTAGCTTTGACTTCCAACCCCACACAGTTACGAAAACGTAGAGAAAATGATGGTATGATCCACTTACTAATGGTAACTCATATCAGTGCAGAATTTTTCAGTTTATAAAGCCCCATATCCGTCTTTTTCTTGTTTTCTTGCATAGCCTAGGGCTACATGAGATGATCGGGGCTGGGTAAGGATGCAGAAGAATTTAAAACAATCACAACCATTGGGCCATTGGAAGACGGGAGACAAGACATCCGGTGCATGAAAAAGTTAGGAAGTATCTTAAAGTTATCCCATTAAAAACAATATATTTCTCTGATCTCACTTGTATGTGGAATCTAAAGAAAACAAACAAACCCACGCTCACAGAACAGATTGTTGGTTGCCAAAAAGCTGGGGTGAGGGGTGGGCAAAATGGGTGAAGGGGTCAAAAAGTACAAACTTCCAGTTATAAAATAAGTCCTGGGGATGTAACGTACTGCATGGCGACTATAGTTAATGATCCTCCACTGCACATTTGAAAGCAGCTCAGCGGGTACATCTTAAAAGTTTTCATCACAAGGAAAACAAATTCTATAACTCTATCTGGTGATGGGTGTTAATTAGACCTATTATGGTAATCATTTTGCTGTATCTATAAATATCAACTCATTACACTGTACACATGAAACTAACGTCATGTTGTATGTGACGTATACCTCAACAAGAAAAGTCTGCATAAAAATAGAAATCAAATATGAAAAAAACCCAAAACCCAATACGTGCAGTCCTGTCTCATATATTGTAGATGTAGCTTATCCATCCATCCCTATATGTTTCCATGTATTATGTGGATTTGCACATGACAGGCACAAATTTCATCCATACCTGTGCATGCCAACCTTTACTGTAAAGCTCATGTACCAAGTACTCTGCATACTCAAAGTCCTGCCCACACCTTCTTTAACCACCCACACCCCCAGCATTCCCCACCCTTCTTAGTCTGCTTAATTTTTTCCATACACTATCACCTTCTACTATATCACTTAACTTATTTTTAATATGTCTACTAAAAAAACCATTCATTGAAGAAATGGAGTTTGACTTAATACAGCATTTCTATAAAGTAGGCAGTATTACCGCTATCTGATAAATGAGTAAACTATGGTCAGAAAGGTTCCCTGAAAAAACACCATCAGCTACACGATGTGCTGCTACGCCATGGCCCCAAAATCAACTCACAAAAGAATTGTGACACAATCATAAGGTCTTTAAAAACAATACACAAAAGCTTTAAAGAAATATCCTTTACTATGTGAAGTTTATACAAATAATTTACCTTGGATTGTCCGAACCTATTTCATATTTTTAAATCCCAGGATTCAAATGATCTACTAAACATCCAATTTTCTAAATATTTTTCTAAAGTACCTTTCTTTACACTTTACATTGCATTATATCCTTCTAAAAACTTAACAGCTTAAAATGTGAGTTTCTAAGATCAGACTCTCAAATCAATGACAAGAAATAATGGGATGAACTTGTCTCACAAGCCTGAACCAACACAGCTCTGAATTAATGTACATCCTTTACTATAATATACATATTGGCTCAAAGAGAAACTCTTTGCTAATATACCAGACCAGGGAGTCTTGACCTCATGGGCTTTGGGTCCCTGAACACCAGAAAACAGAATGCAAATTCTTTTTCCATTTGTATATATGGGCTTTGGGGAGGGGTTCTTAACTCAAAAATTTAAGAACACCAGTCTAGAATGCCAGAAAGAAGAAAAGGTTGTCCCCCTCCCTGTCCTGCCCCTTTCAAAATACTATCTCTAAATGCTAATAGTAGTCTGATACTTAAATGTCTGGTATAGAAACTTACAAAATACCACAATAATTTATGGAAGAAAACTTTCCTCAGCCTAAGAAACCCTGACAATTACCCCGCGTGCTGGTGGCATTTAAGATCAGTGTGATCCTAAGTACAGAGCCATTTAGTGGCACCGAGTTCTGAAGAACACTTCACTAATCAGCAACGTGGCCTCACAGAGCCCCGGTACTTGGTAATCAAGGCCCTCACTCTCGCTCACTCAGGGCGGAAGATCAGAGAGCTGGTGTTCTTAATACAAATGATTTACTCATTCTTTCAAAATATCATCAGACTACATGGTAAATTAAGTTAAAAACAACACTACAGACTGTCACAATAGTTTTGCACTTGCAAAAGGATGTTTATAATTTCCAAGTTTGAGTTACACGTACTGTTTCATTTGATAGCCACTAGTATCTGAGATACGAGGTATTCTGTGCACATGCTATAATTCTCCTTTAGTAGACCAGGAAACCAGTGCTCAGTTAAGAAAACTTTCCCCAGATCAGGAGACTGGACTAGACCTGGGTGAACCCGAACATGGACTAGAACTAAGCCTTTTAATTTCTAACATCGCATATTAACACAGCCTCTCATCATTGCCATGGGAAGAAAACAACGCAAAAAATGCCAGATTGGGGAAAAACAATTGGATAGCACTGTAGAATCGGTTATAACAAAGTATGTCTTCTATTCTGTACACTAATACATATTTTGCATAAGCCCCCAGCTTGCTCTAAAGCGCATTCATTTGATTCATCTAGTGCATGATGATCACTGACCAGGCATCAGGCACCATGCTCAGTGCTGGGCTAGACAGTGAATGAAGTCTTGCTTCAGAGCAGCCTACATCCTTGGGGGATATATGGATTCCACTCAGTGGGTAAGGTCTTTGGAGGTATAGCTATGCTATGAAAGAATCTTTCCCCACGTGGCTACAAAAAGCCATGACCACCAGATTTAAATATATGTTATTACACACACACAGTACAGTGAGTAGCCTGACAGTTGCCTCTATCTTGTCTGTAAACCATGCCTGTTCAATCACCTGACCATGATTCTGCACAATCTAAATACTCTTCTACATTCTCATCCCCATTCACTCCAATTTCCCCCATAACCCTCCACCAGTTTCTCAAACCGGTGTTCCAGAGGAATTCCTGGAGAAAATGGACAGCATTTTCCCTCGCTGCTTCCTCTTCATATCCACTCCGTCCACATAAGCAAGGCTCACCTTCCTTACATGTCTGAAAGTGAATTCCTCCTGGGTTCCAGCCACTTTCTTTTCTGCCTGCCTTCGTGCCTGTGGCCCTCCTACCAACCAATGTGCCCTTTGGAGTGGCCTGGAACTGTTGGCATGACTTTATTCTAATTCTGCTCCACATTTTCCCCATTTTGGGTACCTTTAAGCAGAGAAACACAAGGCTGGTTAAAGAGCAGAAGCTCCCACTCCAGCCCGGCCTGGCCTTGTTTTCAAAACAGCAATGTGTCTGAAGGCTGCTGTGTGCACAGCACTGAAGAGCCTCAGTGGTGACAAAGATCTGAAGGGAACAGACAGGGTGTGGCAAAACCTGCAGAGGTGGCATGTGCTGTCTGCCTGGAGGGGCAGTGAGAGTTGAGAGAAAAGGTTTGTTGCTGCGCACACCTGTGAAACACATACTGAACAGGAAGTATCTCATCTGTGGACACAACCCCACACCCCATTGGTAAGAGTGGCTTCATGTGGCGGAGATTCAGAATCTCCAGAGGCTATGTGCAGAGTGACAAAGTCATCCCAGCTAGCTCCTTTGCAATGTCCCCAGCCTTGATGAAAATACTAGTATAGGGAAACTTTCTTTGACTCCACAGTAAAATGAAGATAATTATACATACTCTTCTGATTATAGAGGTGTATTTTGAATATGAAATGTGAAAAGCATTGAAGACTGTGGAATGCATTACACAAACATAATAATGCTATGAGAAAGCACAGCTTATGTCTTGGAACATACAGTGTGGTCTGGGACATATGACAAGTGAATATATAAACCAACTAGAGAAAGATATTTCACACTTACTCAGGGCTCACTCTGCCAGGCACTCTGCTCTGAATACTGCACATATTAGCTCACTTCATCCTCACGATGATCTCAGTATACAGGCACTGCTATTAGCCCCACATGGCAAAGTGAAGTTCAGGAAGTCACATGATCACGCAATTTTTGAGCCACAAAGCTCAGACTTACATCAGCAGGCTGACTTCACAGCCCAGGGCCCTAACCTCTAGGCATCCTGCCTCCTTGATTGCCTTTTGTTGATCATAAGGACCATGATGACAGTTTATTTACTGACCCTGGGAGTAATTCACTACTCAAAGTGATCCTGGCAATTGCAAATTTGTTCTCAAAAATACCTACATGAATAGGTGTGTTCCTGTAATGTTGAGCATTTAAACTATTGGGGTGGTGGAGGTGAGGGGGCAGAGTTCATTATTAAAAATGGTTCATTAGTCATCTGAACTCACCATCTTCATAACATAGCATCTTACTGCAGTAAGACCCTCTATGGGTATCTCAAATCCCCAGACATTTTTTCTCCTAATTGTACAAATATTTCAATAACAATCAGAGAAGTTTCTTTTGGAAAAAAGCTGCATTTAACATCTTTAAGCAGTCTAAGTGACATCTTTTACCCTTTCATCCCCAAGGTTTTTTTTCATTACTCAGTTTTTCCAGCCAAGACAGAAGACCAAGGCCAGGTTGTGGGTGAGCAGACGTGGCGGTTGGGCCTCCTAAGCTGGGTCATGGACAAGGGGCCCGTCAGCCTCTCCAGGGCAGAACTCTGCTGGAGGTAACCTACACAGCCCTGTGTTGCCAAGATGGAACGTCCCCTCCCCAGTGATGACGCTGCTCTAATTCTCTCATTCCAGGTCTCTGTTTCGCAAGGACAACTTTACTTTATTGGGACCCCATGAATTCATGGAACTTCTGAGCAGGAATGAACCGAAGCAAAGGTTGGTCTCAGTCACCTCCCTCATCATCCATGCCATCCCTCCACAATGTTTGCAATCAATGGCCCGTCAGTGGCAGTTCCAGGAATGAAGAACACAAAGACCCTTAAGCTTTCTAAAACCAATTTTTTTGGAGAGGTCTCACTTTGGCTGCCTAGACCATATAATCTTTTCCTATTACTGTAATTCCAGAATATTCCTCACATCACCAACCACGATTACCTGACCATTAAAACTGAAAGCTCAGTGAGAAGGAAGTCTGTCCAATGTGCCCCTGCTATATCCATGGTTCTTCGACAAGCACATAGTCAGTGCTCCACAAATACTCAGTGAATATGGGGCAGGCAAGCCTCCAGGTGCCTCTCAATCAAGGTGGGCATGTCCACTGTTTAACCAGCGTCTCATATTCATAGCCTGGGCTGCTGTACCTTGACTCCCTTTGAATTTAACCTTTGCCCATTGTCACTACCCATAATGTGCCTGGCTACCCAGGTAAGATGGGAAGCACTGGAACCTAGTTAAGCCAACCAGACACTTCTTCCCTGAATGTGAATCTCACAGGCAGTGACAGAGTCTCGAGTGCCATTTGGTCTCATCCATCTCAACGGAAGCACCCAGACAAGACCATCCAGGACAAGGTTCCTGTCCTTCCTGCTTCTTGGGCCCTGCATTCAGTCCATCCCAGAGGCACCAGATGCTCACCTGTGTCTGGCTTTCCTCTCTCTGTTCTTGTGGGAAGATATCATCTCTCTGCAGTCGGGAGGAGACAAATGACTAATCTGGGCCAGTGAATGGTGGGTGGAAATTACATGCCATTTTCTGGATGGAGCACTTAATTGCCAGTATTAGACCCTCCAGGGCTTTCCTTCCCTGCTGCAATGAACCAGAAACATTGGTAAGATGGTTTTCAACAACTCTGAGGAATGGAGTTTCACTTTCCCCACCCCGACACGTAGCGTGCACAATCAACTAGCATTGATTCTCTGCTGTTTTCCAAGCGGGGTTCTCAGTCCTCTCCCAGAAGAGAGCTCCAAGAGCTTTCAGGAAACCACCTTTTGCTTAGAAAAGCCACCGTTGGTGTCAGTGTGTAGCACTGCAAGGCTTCCATATTGCCATTTCACTCAAGTTCAAGGGTAAAGTTCTGATGATTGCCCCAAAAAGTTTCCACCAGGAGCCTGTACTTTACCTACCTACTTTTGTTTCCAGATCCTTTTCAACCCTGATGTGGGTATCCATCCTTGCTTGCTCCCCCCCTAAAAGTATTTGGACCTGAGAAAGCATTTTCCCTCTGTGGTTTCTAATATTACACCCCTCCTCTCCTTTCAGCCACAGACAGGGCTCCCCAGGAGCAGCCTTCTACCATCACCACTGTCCTCCGAGGGGCACAGAACCGCCTCCCCTCCCCCTGACGCTTCCGCTGGTGCTCTTCATACGGACAGGTAGACGTGGACGGCTTGCTTATTTTCTCTCCCTTATTAAAAAGTAAGCTTCATCATGACAGGGACTGAAGATATTTATTTTCATCTGAGCGAGGAGCCAGATCAATGGACTTAATTGTGGGATTAATGGAGTGTGAGATGTCAAGTCATGATCACTCTCACTTCAAGGCTTATTTTTTAATACGTGCCCAGGGCTGCCTATGGTCAGTACATGCAGCAGGTTTAGTAAATACATATTTAGAGAGACTGTCCTCTCTCTTTTGAGATAGGGAAGGGGCAAATGATCTTCTCTTAGGTATGATAGCAAGTTCTGTTTCTTCTTTGTAAGTGGATAGATACAATACATATTAGTGTGTAAATTTAGAACAGTGGGATGGTTGGTAAATGCTGTCTTACACAAAAACTTTTTTGAGGTACTGACTCCCACATTCTACTAATCTTTTTTTCTTCTTATAATAAAGCAAAACAATCTATAAAAGTTACACAGTCTTCTAGATCCAGAGTCCCCATTGCCCTCTTTAATGGTCCAGAAAGGAGAAGGGTGAGGGGATGGGAGAATGCTATGGGATTTCTCAGAAGTAAATGAGAGGCGCCAGGGCTGTGGGGGCTTAACTCAGAGTCCCCTGGCTCTTCCATGCTCCTCTCCTTTTGAATGATGTCTTTCTAACTCTAAAAAGCATCACAGGGTAAAGGCTGCAGGATGCCCTTGGTTCTACAGCTCTCCTACCCGGCTGATGGTCAGAATCAACTGACCAAATTTTAAAGATATCAATTCTCCACGACCACCCCTTGAGTATTTTGATTTACTGGTCCTAGTAAATTGTACTGTTAAAACGTTCTTCAGGTAACCTGGATCTGCTGCCAGGTTTGCAAACAACTACTTTAGAGTCCAAATGATTTATTTTCACAAAAGCGTGAGTGCGCTAAAGTTTTGGGTTACATTTTAAAAACACTTGGGTTGCTACCGATTAAATGAACTCTTTGGTGAACTTTTTCTTTGAAAAGAATACTTTCTAAAAGGTTTGCAATCATTTTCAAAAATTTTTGTCTATTCAAATTTAGGCCTGATTCATTTACAGTAGATATTTCCAAGATAAGAAATTGAAATCTACGCAGCTGGTGATATTTCTGAGAGAGAGGAGTTGATGAGACAATGTAAGTGAATACAACATGAAGTCTCAATGACATTTTTAACATCATACATCTATAGAGACTTATGTAGGCTTGAAATTATAAAGTGGTGTCTATAGTTTTAGATCTTGGGACAAAGATGGAGTTAAAGTGTTACTGTTAAAGAAATAATATTATATGTGGATGAAGATTTACCAGAAAATAATGCAGCATTATTTATAATAAGGAATAATTAGAAGCAATGTCTAATAACAGAGTAGTGGTTAAATAAAAGGATTATATCCCTGTGGTAGAATATGTTGCTGGCATTAAGTCAATATTTACAAAAATGAGAATGATTACTTCTATACATTTTGTAAAAGCTGAGATGTCAATAAAGTAGAGGAAAACTTTGAAACTACCACAAAGTTAAATCAGCCTCCTAAGAAAAAGGTCTTGGTGGCTACCATCCAGGTACCATTCATCAATCCTGCTTGTGA